ACATTCAATGTCAATGCCACCATGTTTTGTATTTCATTATGGGCAACACCCAATCACGTCAACGAACATGCTTATGATGTATTCCATTATGGCCAACAATCATGTGTATGCTATTGCTATCGTTAATATTATTTTGAGATATAGAAGCTTTTTCGCTGCTGTTGCATCTGTTTACCTTTTTTCAATATTCTCAATAGCATTATGTACGCTCAAAAATTACTTACATCATAGTATGCCCATAGTATTTTTTTCTCAATCAGAGTGATTGATAAAATTTCTATAAATCTGAAAACCTGAAACAAATCGAACGAATGCAAACTCCAAAAGACATACACATACACAATACACATAAAAAACCATTTTTGTTTTGTTTTGAATTTTTTTTTTATATTTTAATAAAATTTTCAGTGTGAGAAATGATATTTATTTCCGTTTTGGTTGTTGTAATCGGATTCCAAATACCATCAGAGCCCGGTGTTGATGATTGGTTGATATTGTTCTCGTTGGTTGTTTCATTGCTACAAATTTGCCTGAAGATGAAATAATTGACTGCGAAAAAAACCAAAAGTAACAGGATGCACCACCACCATCGTCTGAAATACTGTTGCAATCGCTTCATGAATAAATTTAGAGAGGGATTGTCATCATCAACGGTTAGCTGCTCACTAATTGAATGCTCGTCAATTGAAAACTCTTCACATGAAACGAAAGTCTGATCGCTAATGTCATCGTCATCCACATTGGTTTCATTATCAACAACATTCACATTAAATTCTTCACAATCAGCACAATCACATGATGAATGCATGATGATTCGTACAATTTTTAGTAACGAATCATCACTATTAGAAAAATTTATCATTGACATTTTCTTTTCTTTTCTTTTAACACAAATTAAAAGTGTAAACACAAATTGAAATTTAAATGAAAATAAATTGAAAAAAATGACAAGCTAAATCCGAATGGTTACTTGTATCTACAATTCACAATGACATATTTTTTTTATTGGTTTGTTTTTCTCAATGTTTACTTTTCCTTTCAAAATATAAAAAGAAAAATCCAGTTCGTTTTATTTTCTCATTCAATTTTCCATCTATTTTTTTATTGTTCAACTTGAATTTTACAATGTGTGGATTTTTCACTATTTTTTTTTTTAAAACGGATTACTTATTCCATATGAATCTAGAGTTGTACTATTCACTGAATTATTTACTTGAGTACTATTATCAGGAAAAAGTTTTTTACTGGCTTCAAAACCACCAACGCCAATAGCAGTTCCAATTGCTGTAGCTGTTCCATATCGAAGTGCGTTTCTAATACGTGCATATACACCATCTCTTGCGGGGTTCAAATGATCGCTATGCGTTCCTTCTAATGCTTCATTTAAACTTACCGAGCTAAGGAAACGAACATGCTTTGGTTTTTCAGCCAATGGTTGAAGTTCACTCTCTGTAAAGCTCTGTCTTCGTGATGTAGATGTCATTGGTTTCGATTCGGTGTCCATGTGTGATGATGATGCGAGCGATGTGGATGATGATATTGATACCGGTGATGCGGATCGCATCATTTCAGGCTTAGGCTGTCCAGAGTGTGGTAATATAGATTGCGTTCTTTTTATTTTAGCTACACTCATTGCCGACTCAACTTGAATTGCATACAAAATCATGCAGCAACAATTGAGAATAAAAACATGTCGCACAAACATCTTATGTTAGAAAGTAAGCACTATTGAACAAAATGAAATGAAATGCGACAATATTTATAGTACTTCTATGCAAAAAAATGTCATGTATGTATGTCAGTTACATTGCCAACAGACCTTGAATATAGTAGTAGTCTCAATTTATTTATAATATCTGCTCGAGTCATTTGTGCTCAATTACTATTGTTGATGATGTTGTTGTCATTGTTTCTATTTATATTATTATTTCATGCTCACGCAGTTTCTCTATAATAGAGTTTATCTCATGTGTACGATTTACGTTGTCTGTTATCTGTAAAGTTAGTAGTTTTCTCAAACTAGTACAAAGTTCATTCGGGTCATTTGCTCTATATTCAATTGAATGATTCGAGTAGCTTTTACTTGATAACTGCATTTTTTCTACATTATTTTTTGATGATGATTTTGCTAGATTTCGAGGAGAAAAATCAACCTCTTTAGATTCTGAATCGTTAGTGAGAGACTTCATTACTCGATTCACATCATGTTCATGCTCAAGTCGATTCGTATATGCTTGCTTGAATTTATTTCTGATAACGTTTTGCGTAGCAGTTAATTTCGACACACTATCCTGATCCATTTTTTCTTGAATTGCAGTTTGCTGATGAATTATTTCATTATTCACTCACGTACACCTCTTTATATATGAACTTGCAGATATTCATTGAAATTTTTCCGATAACGACCTGAGCTAACTTCATGCTCAAGAGAAATGCAGGCAAAACCAAAAGGTTCACGCCAGCATTCCAAGCAAAGCTTGCGAAATTGATCAAACTTCATATCAGCGTTCACACCAAAATCATTGTAAATGTGCTTTAAATTCAGGTCATCTTGTCTGAATGAAATTATGAAATTAGCATTATCTCGAATAAGTTGCTTATTAAGTTTTGTATAACTCTGAACAATGTAAACTACATCGAGATTGTGATGTCGCCCGAGTGTGAAAATATTACGCACCACTGTTTTATTAATACCATGATCATTGATTACATCATCGAATACAACAAGTGAATTTTTTTTCATTTGACTCAGATCGACAACATTTTCGGATGCTGTGAATGTATAGCAACCAATTTCTTTAATTGATCGCATCGTTTCACATAAATATTTATATTTTTCTTGGTCTAATGTTTTACTGTATAAGTACAAGTTCTCAAATTTCAAACCATGTTCGCTCTCAATCAAACTAATGAGAACGTTCGTTTTTCCACATCCAGATGGACCTGCTATGATACAACGCACATTGTTGGGTAAAAGATCACTATGACGTTTCGGTTTAGATGCATTTATAGATGTAGATGTACGTTCATCTATATTTCCAACTGGAATATCGATTGAATGTTTAACGAACTGCATCTTGATGTTGAATGATCGATTTTTATATAAAAGCGATAATTTATTTCGAAAAATGTTAATATTCAGCGTGATCTTTTTGAAGAATCAACATCATGGAAAACAAAGAACAAAAAAAAAATGTCAATCATCTTCTTTCATTGATCAATTTGTAGAAAAGCTACCGGAAATACATATCAATGGATATAGTTACTGTGGACCCAACACTGATTTGGAGAATCGTTTAGCGCAAGGTGAACAAGGAGTAAACGATTTAGATTGCGCATGCAAGGAGCATGATATCGCTTATGCAGAGAGCAGAGATATCAAAATGCGATACAATGCAGATAAAATACTAGTTTTGAAAGCTTTTAGGCGAGTATATGCGAAAGATTCGCGAATTGGTGAACGTTTTGCTGCAATGATTGTATCATGGTTAATTAGCGTCAAAATTATTCTCAGTAAAATAGAATTATTTGTTAGTTACAGTTTTCGAAAGTGTTTATCATCGAAGTCGGAAAAAATTTCAAATAAAAAACAATATGAAGAAGATTGTTAAGCAGATTGAATCTTGAGTTTTGGAAATGAGAAAAGCTATAAAGATCAATGTCTTACAATGATAATAATTCAGTCGATCGTTTGGTATAGTTCGAAAATGACTTCATCACTTACAGTTGCTTTTACAGGTACCTCATCAGTACTTCGGGCTAATTTTTTGCCTGAAATCACACTAGATGAGGATTGTGATTATAGTTGTGCACTAGTCAATTTAATTATCAAAAATACTAACAAATTGAATGAAATAGTGAAATTGAGTGAAATACGCATCAATTGTGATATAATTTCCAATTCGTATATAAATGGACAGCGAAGTCATATAATTCATCAGTTTGCTACTAGCACATCACATGTGAAAGGTCAAACATTTGTGGAAAATCCGAAACATCTCAACTATTTCCCAGTTGAAGTTAAGAGTTTGCGTTCCATTCAAATTGCTATTGTTGATCATAAAGGAGGACTAGTAAATATTTACGGTGGTGATATCATTTGCCGAATTAATATCAAGAGAGATAGCAACTAAAAAACTTATTTAAACATGTTAATCTACCATAGTTTCAACGCTAGATCGAAAATCTTTGATGATTTTAAAAATAAAAGAAAAAGTGTGAAAAAAGAGTATAAAAGTATAGACAATCGAAAATACGGTGTTATTAGAGCAAAAGTGTTGGGTGAGGAGAGTCAAAAAAAAACTAAGAAACAAAAGAAAAACATTTTGAAGAAAAACATTCAGTTTTTGGAAGGACTTGGACTTAAAGTGAAACAAAATATAGAAAACTGTTAGAGTGGGAAATTATTGAAATAAAACTCTCAAAGAAAAAGTAAGCAATGTATAACAATAGCAGCAAAATTTTGAATATCGGAGCAACTGTTGCTCAGGATAATTCAATTATAAAAAACGAATTTTATACATACACGCCGTATACCAATTCTTTCAATGAATCAGAAGAGATTCGTATTGCAATCCAGAATCAAGACTCATGTTTACTACCATGTGATTCATATCTCTACATGCAAGTTACTGTAAAAACTGAAAATAATGACGATGCTTCTGCTGACAAAGTGAAATTTGTACACAACTTTCCATCGTTTTTATTCAGCGATGCTCGTTACGAATTGAATGGTGTTGAAATTGACCGTATAAGAAATGTTGGAATAACATCAACACTGAAATTATCTGCAGCTTCATGTCCATCAAATACACTTGGATATTATCATTTCAATAAAGCATTCAGTGATAAAGTAGCACAAAGTAGATATAGCACATTGGTTTATGATGTAATGATACCGTTGAAAATTTGGTTTGGATTTTGTGATGATTATAAAAAACTCATTTTGAATAGTCGACATGAGTTAATATTGACGCGAGCGCGAAATAGCATGAATTGTGTTTGGGGTGGAAAAACTGATGCTGGTTCTACCGATGTAAAGATTGAGGTTTCTAAACTAGAATGGAAGATGCCATACATTACATTAGCAGACAGAGTAAAAATGGATATGAATAAGTTTCTGGTTAAGAATAAAAGATTTGCCATACAACATCGATCATGGGATTTGTATGAGTATCCAGAGCTCCCTCAAACAATGAATCATGTTTGGTCAGTTAAAGCAGTTTCACATTTGAATAAACCGAGATATGTTTTAGTTGCATTTCAACATGATAAAAAAGATAATAAAATTGCTGATGCATCAAAGTTCAACTCATTGAAAATAAACAGTGTACGTTTACATCTGAATTCACAAGTATATCCATATCATATGCATGAATTTGATATAGGAGCAGGAAGGTTTTCAGAGTTATATGAGGCTTATGCTAATATTCAATCATCATATTATAACGGTGCGGAAAATAGAAATCAGTTTGCAATCGATTTTGCTAAATTCCAGACAAATGGAATGTTTGCATTTGATGTTTCACGATCGGATGAATCAGTCAAAAATGGTGCGGTTGATATTAGATTGGAAATAAAAGCAAGTGAAAATATACCCGCTAAATGTACCGCTTATTGTCTTATTATATACGACAATGAGTTTGTATATTCTCCTTTAGATGGAATTGTTGAAAGAAGTGTGTAAATGAATAGATTGAAGTTACAAAAAAACTATAAAAGCTAAAAAAGTTTCATGAATCAATTGATTAAATAGTAATACGTGAGCTTGTAAAATGACTAAACGACAAATAGTTGAAGAAATCCATCGATATGCTCGAAAAAATTTCGAGCGACGCAAATATTCAATGCGTGGTATTGCCGACACATTGCAAGCCGATCTTATCGATATGCAGTCGTTTAAAGGAAATAATCGTGGTTACAGATACATTTTAATTGCCATCGATGTATTCTCGAAAAGAGCATACGCTGAACCCTTGAAAGATAAAACAGCAAAAAGTACGACTGAAGCAATGGAAAAATTTTTTAATCAAGTTGGAGAGCTTATTCGAAATTTACATACCGATAATGGGAAAGAATTTTTCAACAGTTTAATGAAGCAGTTACTCACACGATATGACAACGTCAATCATTATTCTACATATAGTGTTAAAAAGGCTAGCATTGTTGAACGCTTGATTCGCACTATCAAGCGAAAACTGTATATGCAATTCAGTTTACAGGGATCAAACAAATGGTATAATATTCTTAAAAAAGTCATCCATACCTATAATAACACTCGGTAAGTATAATTATCATTTATTAATAAAACCAGCATGTAATAATATTCTCTTTTTTTTCTCTCTATCTTTTTCTCTAGGCATAGAACAATAAAAATGAAGCCGTATGAAGTGACGCATGAGAATGAACAAGAGCTTCTCAATACTGTGTATAAGTACAACCGTGAATATTCTAAACATCGAATGGCTAAATTTAAAGTTGGCGATTTCGTGAGATTGAGCGAACATCGAGCTGTGTTTGATAAAAGCTATAATCCCAATTGGTCAACGGCAATTTTTAGTGTTAGAAAAGTTCAGAATAATACAGATCCTATCACATATCTGCTCAAAAGTTGGGATGGTCTAGAAATCAAAGGTTCTGTATATGCGGAAGAGCTTCAACATGTTAGAAATCCAACTGAATATCTCGTTGAAAAGATAATTCGTAGGAGAAATGGACAAGTGTACGTGAAATGGCTTGGTTTCACTGATGAATATAATTCATGGATCCCGGAAAGCGATTTAGTTGACTAAGTTCTTTTTAATTAAAATAAAAACTAGTTTTTAAGAACCTGTTTCAACATGTTTTCTGTATATATGTATTTAAGTATTATTATAAATAAATGTTACATCCATTTTAAAATATTAGTTTGGTTCGGTTTGTGAGAGTTGCATGAACGATGCATTATTCACTAAACGCATTTCGAATTTTATTGTTAATACTTTGCGGATTTTTATTCTGATTCAGTTCTGTTTAAAGTCATTCAAGATAAAACAGAAAAATGGGAAGTGTTTGCATTGATGGAAATTTGGTTAGCGTAGGTCAGTTTTTTCAATGTTTAGGATGTAATCAAATGAAAAAGACTGCAGAATTTGCGGATCGAAAAGAAGAATTTACATTGGCAGATATTATTTGTAATGAATGTTTCAATGCTAAAAAAGATAATACAAATCAGAACAAGCCGGCATATGTTACAGAGACCAGTGAGGAAAAAGATACAAGTCAAGCTGTGAAAAAAATTATGTGTAAATCGTGTAAAGGTACCGATCATAAACGACAAACAAGCAAATTGTGTTCAAATTCATATTGGGGAAAGACAAGAACAGCAAAACAAACTGAAGACATAGCTCAATTAAAGGAAAGCTTGAAAAAATTTGAGGATTTCATTCTGCAGAAAAAAATTTCGATTGATAAATTAGCGCCAGCATTTTGTTCCAATTGGATGGAAATCGAACGCTATCATGGCAATATAGATGAATGGAAATTGGAGTGGGAGTTGCAAAAATTTTTATTTAATTTACATTACGATATCGCATGTAAAGCGTTCTGTACCCCTATATCAGAAACAGAAAAGGATGATATTTTAAATATTGTATCGGAGAGGACAAAAATAATTTACGGTATCGTTGGATCAAATGCTGGAGAAATGTGGTATAATCAATCATACACTAAAGCCCACTACGGAACAATAATATTGATGAAATTCTGGGGTGTAACCATTGAAGCAAAAACTATATCTTATTCCGATAATTGATGATTTCTTTGATGAATTCAACATTATATTTCCAACACTCGATGTATATATTTATTATCATAGTGATGTATGTATTAGTTCTATTCAAACACTAGTGTAATACAGTCAGTAGTGAAGGAAAAAAAGATAAAACAAAATGAAATCTTGTTTTTGCAATCGTTTATATCGCATGAGCAAACCAAGTGCAATAACTGAGTATGCATTTAGTGGAAGTCTTTGCCGTATTCATAAGTTTGAAACAGCAGATGGATTACGTCACTGTCTCACAATATTCAGTCTTTCTGATTATAAACATTTACATTTTTCACATGATGAATACAAATGGCTCATTAGTAAATTATACGTGCTCCAATCTACGCAGGCGATATTTCCCTCCGCAGGCAAATCGGAATTTTTTTTTAATATGAAACAGATACCATTCGATGGTGATTTTAAAATTGAGTTTGGAAAGCAAAGCTTGACTGTAGGATCTATAACTGCATTCGGTCTTGTGAAGACTGCACCATTCACTGATGTTGATGTTTTTTCTGTCAACGAAAACCGGTTTGTTTGTGATTCAAAATGGGATATATGTACATGCAAAACATGTCCAGTTTTCAATCGTTTGATTGAGTACGAAGCATGTGCACGAAGATTATTTACCCATCGTAAACCAGAGAATATAATTTTTACGTCAGACATTGAAAATTTTTAATTAGTTTCAAAAAGAAAGATGGAATTGAAACGATCATACGAAGATGTGTTCAAACGCAAACCACTAGATTGTGTTAAAGTGGTATAGTGTGAACACGCTACAAAGTTTAATATTCAATAATGTAAAATATGTATTAAAATAATATGATGAAGAAGAAAAGTGTGAGTTTTGATCCCAACGTTAAAATTCTACATATGCATGTTTGGACATTCGCATATCGTGAAGCACGGAAAAGTAATTGGATAAGCAATGTTTTAGATAGGCATCGATTTGAATTAAGAAAACAAATTTTAGAAGAAATGCTCACTGAAATAGGATTTTTTTTTCTAGAAAATAAAAAATAGATTTAATAAAAAAAATGCAAATTATGTATACAATCATTGAAAAAAATCTTTTATTGAATAAAAATGAAAAGAAAAAAAATATACATATATGTGTATTATTATTTTTTTATTGATTTTAATTTTAATAATTTCTTCATATGTTCTGCACTATCCAATACGTATTGATATTCATTATTCATTTTCTCTGAATCCAATTGATAATGCCCCCAAGCGAGTGTATTAATACAATCAGGTTTAATTATATACCGTTTATCATCAAATGGATTCAGCGCAATCTTTTCCATTGAAATGGTGTAAACATTATGACTTTTCGAACGAATTGAATATTGTTTTCTCATTTCAATGCAATTATTTTTTATGCATTTATAGTAGTCATCGAATGAAACCTTATTTTTCAATACATTCTTCTTAACGCCTTTGGCTTTTTTCATTTTATCAATTCCACCTAGCGTTCGCACAGCATAACATTTCGATCGCAAGCCAACAACTTCTGTTAAAATTTCACCATTTAGTTCATCTTTGAATTTACCTGGAACTTTTTTATTATGACGTTCAATTCCATAAATATTTCCTTCTAGGTAATCCGATGTGTCAAACTCAATGGGTTCATCGCGAATGTGTGCGTATACATCAGATGTTTTGATTTCGAGTATGAATGAATCAGTATCGGTATATACTACTTGAATATTTTGTCCATATTTTGGTTTCAAGTAATTATACAAAAATTTGTACATTAACACTTTTGATATTTCCAAAATACACATTCCTACGGCGATAGGTCTGTTCATTACAATATGTGTTTTGTTCATTTCGATAGAAGCTAAATTTTCATCGAAAACTTTACATCTTTTAAATTAGGTCTAGCGATTAGACTCCTACCACCTACTCGTCCATACCATTTATTAATTAGTCGAATATCTGAACGCAAACGTAGATTTTCCATTGTCTTGCCATAGATGGCGTTGTTTAAAAGCTTGTAAAAATCTTTTTCGAAATCATTATTGGCTTGAGCACGAAGTTTTGTGTTCAATTCAATATATGGTTTCAACCAAGCACTCTGTCTGAATTGAAGCACACGATGAACTTTTTTCAATATCAAACCATGTTCGAGAGCTAGTTTTAACATAGAATAATGCACAATATATTTTTCCTTATCATAAAATGTTAACAATAACTTATCAATCTTTGTTATCCCGGGTATGGTTCGTTTCTCTGGGCAAAACGGGAAATCATTATGTTTTTCATGCAGATTTGATGGATAATGTAAATCAACTTCAAATATATAACCCATATCCGATTCATCCTTCAAATTTAAAATCGAAGATTCATTTTTTTGATAATCCAATGTGTTGAAATTCTGCTCGATCACATGCTCTGAAAGCCATTGATATTCCCCGATTGGTAGACATTGAGACATCGCATATCCATACAAGTTATTAGCTATTGATTAAAAAAAGAAAAAGGAAAAAACAGATAATTTTCTACAAATACTAAAATGATAATGAAACATTCATATTTACCATCCAAGTACATGATATATGAAGATTCCTTTGATGGATCAAACTCTTCACCCATGTAAGTATTATTCGCTTTCGCATAACGTTTATTTATTTGACTCACACCACCTCGTATTCCACGTTCTGCAAACATTAACATATCAATGTCGGTGAAAAGCTCAATAGAAACGCCAGTATATTTCAGCATCGCATCAAACGAGAGACCTGGTGCACTAAAATAGTGTGCAGGATCCAGTGAATATGTCGCATGACATGTATTTCGAAAGTTTTCAAATACATCTGCAAGGAGCAGTACATCAGTTTTGAGATAAAGATCTGAAAATTCAGCGAGTGTGCGTATTCCGAATTTCTCCCATACATTCTGCGCATGTTTGTAGTCCTCTTCTGATATATTAGATTGTGTTAGCGTACTGAAAAAACTCTCTATTGACGGTAACATTGTCTCTTCAAGTTTCTCATAGTTATCGATGTATTCGTATGGGAAAACACCTTTTCGATTCAGCAAAGTAAACAAATCAACCGAGTGATATCCTGATTTTATACATTCTGATTTGAGAATATGCTTGTTTTCTTGTGGTAAAAGTGTTGCCAAATGATCTAAAGATGCAGACATAAACCGCAATGAATCGATGAATTTAAATTTGATTTCACGTTGTTGTTTATTATTTTGGTTTGGTAATCCAACACCACGCATATTCTTGATGAAAGAAATGTATTTCTCAGAATTATGTGGTATTATCGTTATTTCACCCGGGAAATTCTTGGTAGTTGCAAGTTTTTTGATTAACAAATGCGAATCATAACCCGACAAATTGTGCATTACAACCGGAATGGTTCGACTGATTTGATATTGCAAATTGCACGATTGATGTGCGGCTCCTCTATAGTTACCCGTTATATGGCAATGATCTCTCACTCGTATACCGATTTGTTCATCAGCATTATCATTGAAACTTTTTTTGCATATATGACAAGCAATCGATTGAGAAAATAAACTTTCTTCTTCTTTTGTCAAAGCAATCATTGGTTTTTTATCTTCCAAAAAATCATAAACCTCCTCTGCGATTTTGGTCAATTCAATCATAAACCAATCGAGACAATCTGCACCACGATGGTTTGCATACCATGATCTCGATTCATCATTTTCACACTTGAAATAATATCCGATACTATGCGCTTCATGATGTTGATGTGCCTGTGTTGAGCAATCAGTGTTAAAGACAGGTGTTTCAGGTTGTTTAAGTAATGCTTCTGTGTCTGCGTACACAATGAACGGTATTTTTATCTCATTTTTATAATTTTTGAATGTTTCATATTTGTTTCCAATGTGTGGCATTTCAATCGCAGATTCATTCATGATCATACATATTTTTCTATGTTTTTCTAGTTCTTTATCTGAATAAAAATGATTTAAACATCGATCACAAATCGATATTTTATGTTCATGCTTGGTCAACTGAGCGCGCACTAATCCATTCAAATTTTTAATCCAACAATAATGTGAATGTGTGTTTACTTCACTTGGTTCTTTGCAATACATTTGTGTTTCTTCTGTAAGCAAAAGTAAATGAACGTATCGATAATTAACCGGTTTCATTGCTAGAAGGAGTGGGCATATGCGTTTTTTTTCCGAATCAAAATAATACACATTAATAGCAATGCCATCATTTTGTTGCATAAATTTTTCAATTTGATTTAACTGCACTGGAAATTCGATTCCGTCGAAATTCAATTCATTTGCCCAACGTTGATAGCTTGCAGCATTATTCACTCTGTTCTTGTTTTTCGCATGCACTTGATCATGATGTAATGCAGCTAAAATTGACCACTTAAAACATTCATCATAGGTGTTTTTTAAATTTATAATCGATTTTTTGTTTTTTAATATTTTCGGGAGGTCTATAAAGCCGGATCCACTCAAAGGTTCATATTTAAAAATCTGCACACTCAACCGATCTATTCTCTTCAAGGTGAAACCAGAACCTTCAATCATCACCTCATCCACTTTTCTCTTCAGATAACTAACGATTTCACTTTGGAAATAATCATTAAGATTCATGCTTGAATCAATTTCCTTAACTTTCGTTGGAATGTGAACCATTCTTGTCTCAAAAATTGGATCACTAACTTCATCTTTTACGAAAGATCTTTCGAATTCAGCACTAAAGTATGAAACAGTTTTTATTATGTTGAATTGCGTCACAGCTGCGACTATTTGCGCTTCGTAGAGATCAAATGCACCGATCAAAAATTCATCTATTTTTTTATATCCAAAATTCACTAACTCAAATTCACGTATACGTCGACCAAATGCAGAATTAGATTCTTGTAATTCTACATGCGGAATGTCAACATCAACGTTCTCATGCTCAAAATTCGACATTGTTACTCTTTGTCTTGCAGATCGACTGTTTTGCTAGCTGTAATGTATCATCATTTTATTCAATAAGTCTAAAAAAAGCTAATGTACACTAATAAACAACATGCAAACGAATGATAGGGTAAGCGAATAAATGAGTGAGTGAGAGAGAGAGAGAGAGAGCGAGCGAATGAAATGTATTTATTCACATATATTTATTTTATTCGAAAAGGTTTGTAATTATTTCATTGATTTCTTTCTTACATGACATCTTAAACATGGTTAATTTACATGTCAATTAAATATTGAAATTGCAAAGAATATCCTCATACAAGCAAATCAGATCTAAAAAAAAAAACGTGAATGAAATTAACATTGCATTCATATGTTTGTTAATAATTTATGCAAAAGGGATCATAGATGCATAATTGGTTCTCCTTTTTCCAGATTCATGTAATTATTTCACCATGATATAGTACATATTTATTTTTAATCGGTTTGAGATAAAAATATACTGCATATGAATGTAAATATGAAATGTTGATCTTAGAGAGAGAGATAGAGAGAGAGAGAGAGATAATTTTTCGAAAAGATAAGTAATCATTCATTGAAATCTTTCTTCTTCACATGGTATATCTATTAAATATTGAAATTGCAGAGAATATCTTATAAACAAATTAGATCTAAAAAATGGAAAAATCAAGATTGAAATTAACATTGCATACATAAACAT